ACTCTCCTTTCCACAACACCCCAGTGGTTAAGCGTCTCCACCAGTCAGTCCCGGGTATGACAATCCTTCAACTGCCACTTCATAGGCAGGGTAACACCACAGTGTTCATCCGGGGTGCGACTCACAGCTGCTGCAGCAAACACTTGGTGACGAGACGGCTGCCTTGGGTAGACTGATCCAACCTCCATTACAGCAGTCCCAGGTCGACTCTGTAATCAGACACGTCATCAGTAACAGGGACACACAAAAACACCTCACTTACAGGCTCAGACACAAACGCCCGACGTATCCACTCCATAGATGGCGTTGTTGTCTGAGCACCACCTCACCAGAGGTCAGCAGCGGCTGTGTTGTGAGCTGAACAGGACTGGAAACTGGCCCTCATGGCCAGTACACCTCGTCCTCGCCAGGTGTCGTCGTCCATTTGGAGGGGGGTTTCGGGAGCTGACCCACAGATGGCGCGATCGTCACTGCTCCGTGCTCGGACGCTGGATTCGGGTCCGTAACGCTCAAGACTTTTCCTACAAATTATACTAAGTGTCAGTGCTTATGATATTTTCTCTATAAACAATGAATTCTAGAAATCTGGCCCAGGAGTTTTAGTTTCGAAGGCAGAAGTTTTCATAGTAATATCCGATCTCTGAGTATTCCACTTTCTTTGTGTTTATTGCATTAATAAACATAAATATAGATTGTTCTTTCAGGATTTCGCTCACTTCGTTATCACCTTCCAAAGAATGCCTAATAATTCATACTCTATTTTGTCCCAGTCAGTGTCCCGATTGTTGATGTCATATATATTTAATGCTTCCTCCTGTGCTCCCTCCTTCATCCTAAAATATGTGCTTTTAGTATGCTATAAATACATATATTTGTTTTTACTTCAATGGTGTTTTGTGGTCTGAGTAAGTCGTATATGAATTAGTGAGTTTCTAGATAAGTTCTTCATTATTCGTCAGTTTGACTGCTGTTCTCTATTGTAAGCCCAATAATTTGTTGCATCAGTGTGAACTTGTAATTATATCGCGTTAGTTTCCTGGTGTGTTCATCTTGTTCTCTACTGCATACTGTTATTGGACCAGTAAAATATTATTTTACATCATGTTACAAATCAATCACCTAGGAGAATAATACTCGCTTCTGAGGATTCTATGTTTTCTTGCCAGTTCTCGCTATTTTCTTATCTGTTCAGCAAATGTTTAGACTGCTGCAGTTGAGGGATTAGCATATTACTGTAATTACTAAGTTTTTATTTTCAAATTTGATACCCAATATTTCCACTACATCAGGAGCTGGTCTAAATTCTGTGCAGGTGAGCAAGTCTTTAACATAGCAACCTACTTCTCCATGCATCCTATTTATTCTGTTACATCTATAGATATTGTTATCTGGAAGCCAAAGCTATCTACCAATGTATGAGTTTTTGTGGAAATATAAAATACGTCATATCCCGCTGTAATGAGGCAATTTATAAGAACTTAGTTTTTTGCCCATATTAATTTAAGAGGCCTTATATATTAGGAAAGATACATAATTTGTCTCAGAACTATTTTAACTAGGAGGTTTTTCAGGTAGGTCCATTACTGTTCCAGTTCGTTCCATGGTGCATGGGGATTTTGAACCTACTCTGTTTGTTGCAGTGTTATTCCAGGTCGCTGATGTAGGGCTGTTGTGGGGGAGTCACAATTTTTATTGAAACTTATTGTGTGTTTCATTTATTCTACCAGTGTTTGGATGTAGCTGAAGGCTAGTGATGTATTAGTGTAGACCGAGTGCAGTAATGAGGTTAATTATATGTTTTTGTGGACAAGTGTGGTACTTAAGAAAGTATTTTGACTGTACGTGAGGGTTGTTACACTTTCCTGAAGATCCTATTTTCGTGTCACTTTGCTCGACTTCTTAGTTCTGTTCATCTGAGTTACCAATATGATATATTCAAGGAAAAGTTTATTAATATGTAGGGGTTTCACACTTTTATCATTTTTGTGAGTTTAAAAATATTGGGATTTAGTCCATAAAAAGTTATACGACTATGCTAGATGAACAAGAGCCCGTCTAACGGTTTCTAGAAAGCCAACATGTAAAATTGGTTGGCTACCTTCAAAAAGTCTTTGAAAGATGTTATACATCCATGACAGATTTTAGTTTTTTCTAGGTCCCTCTATTGTAACAACGTGTCTCAGAATGAAATGAAATTCAGGGCTCCAGGAGCCTTCCATCAATCACAGTGGATAGCAGTGGCAATATATGAACTTAAGTTGGTCCAATATAATGGAAAACTGTAGTTGGCTGCTCGAGAATTTAAAAGGATAAGGAAAGTACCACATTTTGTCTGCCTCGTATATGTCTGCTTTTGTCGTGAGGCAATTGTGACTCAATACGAACCAAGGAAGGACTTGGACAAGATTCCGCTTCTGAACTGTTAGCCAGATAAAGATGCCAAGGAAAGTGTTTCGAAAGTGGATTAGAGATACTATCGGTTTCTGCCGGAAACAAATGTTCGATTGGCTTTCCTTGAAAGTATTACTCTGGTAGAGAAGGAAAAGATTTTCCGGAATTTGGAGTGGAAATGCCAGCATGGAAAAAATAATTTAAACAATTAGAGGAAAAAGCTGAATCTTTCATGGGAGACATTTGAACTACGTCGCCACCTGTCATATTGTAACAGTTATTAAAGTTCCTTGACTGGAGACTTGTAGGGTTCCTGACCTGCGGGACTGTCCCAGAAAGGTGAGGAGAGGTCATAAACCCCACCTTGGGCGGTTTGAAAGGTTGGCGGGCTAATCCATTTTTCCATGAAGTTTTCAGATTAAAGTCCGTTAATCCAACAGAAAAAGGAGGATAGAGCGGGTATGAAAGTTAGGACGAAGCTGCTTAAATTTGGACCAAGTAGCTAAATCTAAAACAACAACCAACAGCTGTTTAGAGAGAGTGTGTGCTGTGTCTCAGACCAGACAGGAGTCTGGGGTCTAGTGGTGGAATTCACTGGGAAGGGAGACTGACGATCTGGTGTCTACACGTAAGCCTCATCTTTGTTGTATCTTGAGAGAGTACTGGTCCCTTATGTTCTAACATCACAAGTGTTGATCATTCTAAATGCATTGATAGAGAAGATAGAGTAGGATCTTAATACTAAAACTAATTAATATATTTGTATTATTAAATTGTACATTCGTTCCTGCTTATTATTCCATAGAGAGTTGCCAGGCCCAAGTATTCTGTGGGAATTTCCGTAACTTTTGGTTACGATTGTCACAAGTTAAATTATCTTCTTCCCGCCCAAAATTATCAAAAGTGCTTTAGAATTATATGGATACCATTGAATATTGGGAGTCGACTGTGTTCTCTCCCTCCTGTGCTAGTGTAAATATTCCGTGATAGGTCACAGTAGGTGATAGTCCGGGCACATTGCCCACCACCACCTAGAGTAATTAACATCTGGAACTCTCCCGTGATCGGTACCCTTCGCCGTCGGTCACCGTAAGGTACTAATTTTCATCAAAGGCAAAGGTGTTGGCAGCATTAAGTAGGTTTATGTTACCTTTAAGTTAATCATAAATCGTAACGACTCTCTCTTCGTGCCGGTATAAGTGGTTATAGCCAGGTGGGTTGAGTTATAAATGATGAAATAAATAAAAACAAAGTATTATAAAACACAAAAATTCTTGGGATTGTTCTTGGTTGGCGAAATAGAAGAATATGAGAAAATCAGTAAGAGCCATGAGGAGGATTCGGAATTATGCTCTGGGTTCTCCTAAGCAAACTCCTTAGACCACTACACCCCAACTTGGCCAAAAGCAATGCACCCTGGGATTCAACAGATTCCCCAAGGGTTCCTCAGGCTTACACTGAAGCCTAACCAGGGTTTCACATAATTGCCTTCATGCACCCCTGGGTTGTAGTAAAAAAAATGAATCGCCTTCAGCATAAAAGGCTACAGTGTAAGTCCCATGAACCCAAGAGGATTCAGTTGAATTCAAAGTTCCATTGCTTTTGACCATGTCATGCTGTAGACATGGCGTTTGTCTAAGGCGTTTGTTTGCGAAATCCCAGAGCATAGATTCGAATCCTCTTCATGGCTCCTATTGACTTTTTCATTGATACATTATGTTAATGTGATTTCTTTGTGCAAGGAGGAATATTGCTAATGAGATGTGCTAAGAAGCTCCATCAATGCCCTTAAAGTGATGAATAACACTGCAGAAAGGGACATTGCCCTGATGTTCAACGAGTCCAATAAGGGATGAATAACAGAAACAGTTTCTGTTCAGGATCACCAAGCAGAACAGAAAAGACACCACTAAGCGAACAAAAGCACAAGTTTCATCTTATGATTTTAACAAATGTAGTTAATATGACTATTATTAAGTTGTTTCATCTTTTTTAGGTTTAGTTATGTGGTTGTATTTTACAATAAAAGATTCATTGAGAATCTGGTTTCCTTAGTCGTAAAGATTATGCTATGTATTATTAATATACTATATATGAATTGGAGTAACATTTCAAAAATATCTTATTTTTTATAGTAGATATTAACTGTTCTTCCTTATGATTGGCATCGATGAGATGAAAAATATATTAATTATAATTAGAATATTTTATATTATTACTATTAGGTCCAGTACATGTCTCAAAGATTAACATATGTCTCTTGTATTTTGGCTAATGGAGACAACTGGTTGTTCTGGACTTCTCCATTATGACAAACCTGGGATTGATGTGAATATACATGTTGAACATATTGAAGAGATCTTTATATATAGGACTGTGATAATTAGATAATTAGGCATTATTCAAGTGATATTATTATTAAAATTAACTTTCTATTTTAAAGCAATTGGCCTTTACAGAACCAGTTATGAAAAAAAAATATTTACATTGTGGAGCTGATAGACATTAAAACTATTTTGAATTAACGACTAATTAAGTGTAAACTTTAATTTATAAAGCAATTTTTTTAAAATATAAAGAGTAATAATTAGCAGAGTAACAGATGTTGCCTAATTAAATTATTTATTGTTTAAATGACTTAAAGTTATTGCGTTTTTTCTTACAGGATGTTACCCACAACCCCAGTTAATATCCGTAAACTTGAGAAGGACATTACACTTCAAGGCTACAGAGTCAAAGCTGGAGTGAGTAACAAACCTTCTTTGTTTGTTCTTCAAATAATTATGCATCAATACACAACCCTTCCCCAACACATAGGTTCGAAAACAAACACAAACTCTCGAACACGCACGCACGCGCGCGCGCACGCACGCACGCACGCACACACACACACACACACACACACACACACACACACACACACACACACACACACACACACACACACACACACACGCTTGTAGAAATAGATCCCATCTGCTCATCATGAGGGACTTAAATCATGGAAGGATAGACTGGGAGAACAAGGAAACACATGGCAGTGAGGATACATGGAGAGCTAAACTATTGGAGGTGGCGACAAGAGATACTTCTTAAGCCAGCATGTCAGGGAACCCCACAAGTATGAGAGGAAATGATGAACCAGTGAGACTTGATCTAGTCTTCACTCTGAACGACTCTGACATAAGGAATATCGGTTTCGAGGCCCCGGTAGGAATGAGCGACTACTGTGTACTGACCTTTGAGTATCTGGTTGAAAAGGGTTAAGGAACTCAAGGAGGGGAACTGAAAACAAAAGGCTAGCATTCCGAAAGGAAAACTATGGGAGAAGAAAGGGAGATAAGAAAATTCCAAACAGATATAACAAGGGAAACAGAGCTCAGGGGCAAGACGGCCTAAGACATGAAGAACTACATCACGCAGAAGTGTAAGGAGGCAGCAGACAAGTTTATCCCAGTCCAAAAGGAAAAAAACAAAATGCAGTTGAAAAACCCATGGTTTAATCAGATATGTAGGCTAGCTAAGCAACAAAGTAAAAGGGCGTGGAGAAACTATAGAAATAACAGGACACTCGAGAGTAAAGAAAGATACCAGAGTGCCTGGAATGAATTTGTCAGGTTCAGAAGAGAGGCAAAAGGATAATACGAAAATGACATCGCAAGCAAGGCAAAAACTCAACCTAAATTGCTGCACAGCCACATCAGGAGAAAAACAACAGTAAAGGAACAGGTAATGAAACTGAAGATAGGGGCAGACAGATTCACTACAAACGACAAGGAAGTGTGCAAGGAACTAAATAAGAAATTCCAGGAGGTCTTCACATTAGAGCATAGGGAAGTTAAAGAGATAAGAGAGGGAATAGTTACCCAGGAACCACTAGCAGAGTTTGCTAGTGCTATAGTTGCTAGAGTTGAATGTGACAAAGGGTATTGGCCCGGATGGAATCTCCTCATGGATACTAAAGGAAGGAGCAGAAGCACTCTGCCTGCCACTCTCCATAGTGGTCACAAATCACTGGTAACAGAGGAATTGCCAAAAATTTGGAAGATTGCTAATTTAGTCCCAATATACAAGAAGGGGGATACCCAGGAAGCACTGAACTACAGGCCAGTGTCCCTAACCTGCATACCATGCAAGCTGATGGAGAAGATTGTGCGAAAAAAACTTGTGGAACATTTGGAGCTAAAGAACTTTGTAAAACAGCATCAACATGGGTTCAGGGATGACAAGTCCGGCCCTACAGGATTAATTGAATTCTCTGACCAGGCAACACAAATCAGGCAAGAGAGAGAGAGAGGGGTGGGCAGACTGCATATTTTTGGATTGCCAAAAAGCCTTTGACACAGTACCACACAAGAGGCTAGTGAAAAAGCTGGAGATGCAGGGTGAAGTGAAAGGGAAGGTACTCCATTGGATAAAGGAGTACCTAGGCAACATGAAACAATGAGTCAATGTGAGGGGTGAGGTCTCTGATTGGCGAGACGTTACAAGTGGAGTCCCACAGGTGTCAGTCCTTGGACCAATACTGTTTCTGATATATGTAAATGACCTCCCAGAGGGTATAAACTCGTTTCTCTCAATGTTTGCTGATGATGCAAAAATTATGAGGAGGATTGAAACAGAGGATGTTAGTAGGAGGCTACAAGATGACCTAGACAGACTGAATGAATGGTCCAACAAATGGCTGTTAAAGTTCAACCCGAGTAAATGGAAAGTAATGAAACTAGGCGGTGGAAACAGGAGGCCAGACACAGGATACAGAATAGGAGATGAAGTACCTAATGAAACGGACAGAGAGAAAGATCTAGGAGTTGATATCACACCAAACCTGTCTCCTGAAGCCCACATAAAATGAATTACGTCTGCGGCATATGCGAGGCTGGCTAACATCAGAACAGCCTTCAGGAACCTGTGTAAGGAATCATTCAGAACCTTGTATACCACATATGTAAGACCAATCCTGGAGTATGCGGCCCCAGCATGGAACCCGTACCTTGTCAAGCCCAAGACGAAGCTGGAAAAAGTTTAAAGATATGCCACTAGACTAGTCCCAGAACTAAGAGGCATAAGTTACGAGGAAAGGCTGCGGGAAATGCACCTTACGACACTGGAAGACAGAAGAGTAAGGGGAGACATGATCACTACCTACAAAATCCTCATTGGAATCGACCGGGTAGACCAGGAAAAACTATTAAACACTGGTGGTATGTGAACAAGGGGACACAGGTGCAAACTGAGTACCCACACAATACCCTGAATACTGCCAGGAGCAATGCAACTGGTATGTAACAGGATACCTTAATCCACTAGACCATCATGACCAAACATAAGGAGGTGAGGAGCTCCTGGCAGTATGGGTTCAAGTCACTTCTGGGGTGTGAGTTTTCAGTTGCATATAGTCCTGGGGACCATTCAGGCTTGTTCGCATTTGTGTTCCTCACGTGTGCCCCAAAGAATGAGGTGATTTGATAAAATACTATGCCCAAGATTACCATCCGAGTGCCGGCGGGGGGGGGGGGGGGGCGTCAAATACCTTCGGCTATCACCTCCTTATGTCTGGTCGTGATGGTCGAGTGGATTATATATATATATATATATATATATATATATATATATATATATATATATATATATATATATATATATATATATATATATATATATTATATATATATATATATATATATATATATATATATATATATATATATATATATATATATATTATATATATATATATATATATATATATATATATATATATATATATATATATATATATATATATATATATATATATATATATATATATATATATATATATATATATATATATATATATATATATATATATATATATATATATATATATATATATGTTTGTATGTATGTGTGCGTGTGTGTAAATACGTAAATAATGAAGATATTAACACGTGATGGACAATGTGACAGTGTCAGAACACGAAGGAATGATTAGGACAGGAATTTCCTTAAGTACTTTTGTATTTAATAATACATCTTCAGAAGGATTCCCAGACGCTTGTCTACATGTATACGAGTGTGTGTGCATTGTCAACCGAGCGAACAGTAATTACATTTGTCATTTATTTATTGTATTTAATATTGTTCATTTGAGAGCGATTTTTGTACATATTGGAGCTATCATTTAATGCATGAATCATAAGTGAAGTTCATCAGAGTTAGTGCGGCGTCTGTGAATATATCCTGCTTATCTTGCTATGTGTGTTTATTATTTCTAGAGTTTAATGCGAGAAGTTCAATATACTTTCTGAAGTATAAGTTTCCCTTTCTGTTAAGCTAACTAGGCTGGAATGGTACTTGGTGTAACTAAATCATATAAGTAAAGTTTTACTTAAGTGTTGAGTCGATTAAGCAGATGCTTCTTCTATTATTGCAATGCACTAAGGATGTTGGTCTTTGACAGACTAAAGTGTTTATCAGCATGAAGGAATCTGGCATGATGGAGGAATACTTTCCCCGGGCGACGGAGTTCCTTCCCGAGCGCTGGATGAGGGACCAGCCGGATCGTCTCAATAACCAATACGCTTCCATACCCTTCTCTGTGGGCACCCGCATGTGTGTGGGGAGGAGGCTCGCTGAACAGGAGCTTTACGTCTTCCTCGCTAGGGTAAGTGTCAGGAGTAACTAACACCTGTCTTGATCCCAACCTTTCTCTTATTAGATGCTTCACTTCATCCTACAGATATATTTAAGAGAGTATTTTATCCTAAACAGATGTTCCAATTTATAATGATATGTATTAACATGTATATCTTTTTTTACAGCTGTTCTTGAAGTATAATTTGGAGTACAAGTACAGCGAGTGGGATCCAGTGATGAGGGTGCTATACAAACCTGACAAGCCACAAAACTTCACCATGACTGAGCGTTGATGAGCTCTCGTCCTCTCGTTTTTTACTGTTTTCAAAATACACTATTTTCGTTGTGTTTGCATTGTGGCTCCGTGCAGAATATACTCTTTCATATATTAAATAAAATTAAAGGTTAAACAATCCCTGCAGTTTTTGTAATACATACATTATATATATATATATATATATATATATATATATATATATATATATATATATATATATATATATATATATATATATATATATATATAATGTCGTACCTAGTAGCCAGAACGCACTTCTCAGCCTACTATGCAAGGCCCGATTTGCCTAATAAGCTAAGTTTTCCTGAATTAATATATGTTCTCTAATTTTTTTCTTATGAAATGATAAAGCTACCCATTTCATTATGACCGAGGTCAATTTTTTTTATTGGAGTTAATATTAACGTAGATATATGACCGAACCTAACCAACCCTACCTACCCTAACCTATCTTTATAGGTTAGGTTAGGTAGCGGAAAAAGTTAGGTTAGGTAGTCGAAAAAACATTAATTCATGAAAACTTGGCTTATTAGGCAAATCGGGCCTTGCATGGTAGGCTGAGAAGTGCGTTCTTGCTACTAGGTACGACATATATCTAATATATATATATATATATATATATATATATATATATATATATATATATATATATATATATATATATATATATATATATATATAACCTATGATGAAGGGGAATTAGCCGAAAACGCGTTAAGCATTTTCTATTTTTCACGTGTGGTTATTCTGTATATATATATATATATATATATATATATATATATATATATATATATATATATATATATATATATATATATATATATATATATATATATATACAGAATAACCACACGTGAAAAATAGAAAATGCTTAACGCGTTTTCGGCTAATTCCCCTTCATCATAGGTTAGGTTTTGCATACAACCTAATCATAGGTTGTTAGGTTAATTCTGCATACTTGGATCAGTGTTTTTGTGATCATTGTTGCATATATATATATATATATATATATATATATATATATATATATATATATATATATATATATATATATATATATATATTGTGAGAGTTTTTTGTGTGTAACTTGTGAGAAGTTTGGAATAAATTATAATTGGTATAAGGAATTTTAGCTCGGAAAATTTCTAAGAATTTTCTTTATTATTTAACCTTTATTCCTGTCGTGATATTCAATTAGGTCGCCTGAGGAAGGACTTGCTTAGCTAGCACACCAGTGTAGTAAGCAGCTCATTCCTCACTTTGGGACCATGTATGAACAATTGACTAGGCGCGAGCAAACGCCGAGACCCCAATGAAAATTTAAATCCCCTCCACTAGGCCGACGACCTTCGCCAATCGCCGAAGCGAATCTAACGAGTAGGTCACGGGCTCTCACAACAATAATTTATTGTTGTGTGGTGCCGTATATTTGATCCAAAGCTCAGAATTAGTCTCAATTTTATTAGTCGAGTGTGAAGAACATTTGCATAACAATAATAATGTGTGGGGGTGTAACGAAAAGACAGTGTTAACCATAACAACTTAGTTTATTCAATAAAGTACTAACTACTACAACAAAACAAAAGGAAATGTCAATGACGTTACTCGAAATCCTTCCTGTGACACTATCAATGACAGCTAGACACCAGCCCCTCGGACTGCATAATGAACTAACTCGAACATAAGCGTGACCACAGAGGAATCAACAAGAAACAAGAACTAACAGATCTATAATCACAATTACAACAATTGACACAGTAGGTTCTGAAATACGTCTCCAGTAACCTCCTAACTGTTCTACGCCTCAGTGCAGTCTACACCTGCATTAGCGGTTGCAATGCAATCAAATCAGTAGTCTTTCAATGACAACAATAACTAATGGGTTCACTGGCAACTCCAGCAACCCTTCCTCAAATTAATCCTTACGTTAACACTCCGTCCCACGGACGATCAACAATCAATAACAATTGATTTACGTTAATTACACAATAACATTTACGTTAATAACAAGGTAACATTTACGTTAAATTGATAACTCTTACAACTGTCACTAGTAACGCGGAAATTACACAACACTCTACCCGTCGAGCATTCAGTGAGAAAATTCCATTAATCCCTGTACTTCCAGACAGCTGATTAATCTCTTTACTAGTTACGTTAATTGGTTACTAATCACTCAGCGATGGTAAACTGATTTACAATGTCCAAAGTGCTAAGAGAACGGTAATCACTCGTGATTACCTTTAGAGTAAGTAATTACTATCCTTAAGATCAATAATTAATCAATTAAAAATACGCAACCTTTCACACTGGCTCAGCAATTTACATTAAGGTATGAATTCCATCTAAGCCTTCCATACTCAGACCAATTCAGGTAGCTAATAACAGTAATTAGCACCACGTTTACGTTATTCTAAAATGACGCTACTCCTCCCACGAGTCAATCAAGTTCCGGTACTTCCGGGCAGATAAATAACGACGTTACGTTAATGGAACAATGTAGAAAACGTGTGAATCGATCAAACAAGGATCGAGGTTAATTACTTTGACTTCCTGAAACACGTCAATTACCCGGCCACTGACCGTTAATTACGACAGACAATGCTCTAATTCTTATCTGGCTGATGGCTAGGCTCCTCGAAACTACCGTAGCTGCTTGCAGGAAAGTAAATTAACACCAAACGTATTCTACGTTACTCAAATTGTCAAAGAACAAATTCTCTTAAAGCAATGGGCGTTCCCTTGGTTACGTTATATTAATTGCCTCGCAATCACCTCACTGAATACTGGACTTCCATGTCCTACCAGATAACAGGAGAATATATGTGTATCCAAGTACTCGTCTACAGCCGAGTTCCCCCACGACAATGACAAATCACACTAACAAATCACAGTGATTTACGTTAAAATCCGGTTGCAATGACAATACTGCAGAACCTAGTAAAATAACATACAGGACATGAACCCCCTAGAACACTGCCCCACAATCACTTTATTGAAATGCAACCACATGCGATGATGCTCAACACTAGCACCAATCACCAACAAATAACAACCCCTTTGCAATAACACACACAGCAAGTACTCTAATTTCCAAATATTAGAATACTGCACAACACTTACTTACTTACTGTTGCAAATGACCCCAGTGCTCTCAATAACCCCTAGAACATGGGTCAATATATATCAATCACCACACAATAACACTGGGCACCGTGACACTACGATTATATATATATATATATATATATATATATATATATATATATATATATATATATATATATATATATATATATATATATATATATATATATATATATATATATATATATATATATATATATATATATATATATATATATATATATATATATATATATATATATATATATATATATATATGTCGTACCTAGTAGCCAGAACTCACTTCTCAGCCTACTATGCAAGGCCCGATTTGCCTAATAAGCCAAGTTTTCATGAATTAATTGTTTTTCGACGACCTAACCTACCTAACCTAACCTAACCTAACTTTTTTGGCTACCTAACCTAACCTAACCAATAAAGATAGGTTAGGTAGGGTTGGTTAGGTTCGGTCATATATCTACGTTAATTTTAACTACAATAAAAAAAAATTGACCTCATACATAATGAAATGGGTAGCTTTATCTTTTCATAAGAAAAAAATTTGAGAAAATATATTAATTCAGGAAAACTTGGCTTATTAGGCAAATTTGGCCTTGCATAGTAGGCTGACAACTGCGTTCTGGCTACTAGGTACGTCATATATATATATATATATATATATATATATATATATATATATATATATATATATATATATATATTTCGTACCTAGTAGCCAGAACGCACTTTTCGGCCTACTATGCAAGGCCCGATTTGCCTAATAAGCCAAGTTTTTATGAATTCATGTATTTTCTCAAATTTTTTTCTTATGAAATGATAAAGCTACCCATTTCATTATGTATGAGGTCAATTTTTTTTTTGTTGCTTATGCATAAGCAACAGGGCTCCATTAAGGAACATATAATCTCTTCCCACAACCAAACCATCGCCAGAGAAATCCTAGTAAACAACACAGAAATCATCGATAGATACAGCGATAGCAGGCGGCTTGACGTTTGCGAGGCACTACACATCAAGAAGTCAACACCAGCAATCAACAGCCAATTATTGCACAACTATATTCTACCCACCTCAAGACTCCGCTCCAATATAGAAGCATCAAGAAATATGGACCAATAGGCTTTCTACAAACACTTCTATTCAATACCCATTGTTTGTGTTCTGTCTTGTTCTGTTGATACTTTTAATACCCTATTAATATCCCCTCTTGTTCTGTCTTGTGTTAATGCCACATCACCCCTCCCACCTCACTCAAATGTAGATATAAAATCGGAGATACGTAAGTTCTAATCAGTTGTGTATTTGTGAACTAAAGTCTTTGAAAATGTAATAAGTTTTACGAAACGCGCCCGTGTCGCGTCAGACTAGAAATAAAAATGAATTTTGGAGAATTGATTTTTGATTTACCTCCAACAGTGAAGCGTAATGTACGAAAGATTGAGAAAATTCGTGTTAGAATTATTAATCTTACTTTTTCGGTCATATTTAATAATATATATATATATATATATATATATATATATATATATATATATATATATATATATATATATATATATATATATATATATATATATATATATATATATATATATATATATATATATATATATATATATATATATATAATTACTGCTGACACATGTAGCCTACAGCTATCAAACGTTATTGGGAAAACTAAGGAGATCTCGCACTCCTAAATCACATTGGTGAGTGATTTATCGATCACGCATGTCGATAAGCACTCTCGAGAGTTACGTTACTTCGACAGAGCGATGGCGGTCTCTCCAGCCAGCCTCGTCACTAACCAAATTCTACCAAAATTACGTTAATATATATATATATATATATATATATATATA